CCCCTCTCCACCACCACCCCCCCTCTCCCACCCCCCAAACATGCACCTTTAATTTACAGGTCTGTCAGTAATGAGGGATGAAGAATGCGGGACAAGCATGTAGGGGAGACAACACAAAATGCTTTACAAGAGAACAAGAGCTATGTTTCCTAAAAATCTACATTGTACATATAGTTTGGAAGACACAGGCAAATCCTTCACACAGGGATTTTTCCTAGCTTCCCTGCAGAGCCTGGCATCAAGCTATAATATTCTTGACTGTGTTGAAAACCTGGCTCATGAGACCTTACATAAAGTTGTGTGGATGAAGAACTGGAAAAAGCGTTATTGTCTTTGCAAGCAGAAAGAACTCAAGTATCAGATTTGTTTCAGAGACTTGACCTACAGTGCACATGGCAAATTAGTATCTCCCTCCCTGTCGGGATGTTTTGTATCCAGAAGTTCATGCAGGCAAAACAAAAATTCTTAGTTGTGCTACACTGTTAGGCATATACATCTTTCTCAGCTGAAGCTCGAGGTTATTTGTATCCCACTTTAAGAGCAGACTGCTCTCCCACAGAGAGGGAGGATGGGATCTGTCGTTCTGACTAAGCTGATTTAATGGAGAGCTGTTACTGAAAGGGGGGGGTGGGGGGTGTCACAGGGGAGTGGCTTCCTCCTCGGATCCTCACATGCTCCCCTGCAACAGAACTGGTGGATCTCTGACCCTGTGGTAAGCCAGTTTGGAAATCCATCTGGTCAAACGCCTGCAAAGGATCAAGTCCTTGTGAGTCACCTGTTTTCTGTCTGCGTGGCGCCTTGAAGCAGCTCACTGTGGGGGCTGCTGTGCCCCACTGCTGGTGTCAGAGCCACGGCAGAGCCATGAGAGCTGCGAGACGTGCAGCGGCAGTGCGCAAGGGAAGGGCTGCCCCCTTTGCACAGCTAGACAACAGACAGGCTTAAAGCCATCACAATACAGTGCTCTCAAGCTGATGTAACAGAACTGTGGCAATAAAGACTAAATAGGCAAAATAAACCTTGGATTTTACAATTTAGCACAAGTACTGATGCTGAAGCACCTTCTATGTTCTAAATCAGATACTGTCAGATCAACAGTGGGGATTTTTCAAGACAGAGCCACCTAAGAGCCAGATCAGACAGTATCACGGCATCGGTGCCTATATTGTGACCGCAGTCTGGTCTAATGAGTGCAGGGATGCTCCAAAATTGAAGAGTGTAAAAATAAAACCTAAGACCAACTTTTGTCTATTCCTGTAACCTCTCTCCAGCAGCTGAGTTAATGCCCGTTATCAGTTTTTACCACACAACCCCCCTGTCACAGATTATAAGAACTTTCAAAAATAAGCCTCACATGGGAGGAGCTAAGCTTGAATGACAGTTTTGGTAGGCTTTGATTTCATCCTCTCTCATTAGGAAAATTACACAAGTTCATACGAAACACCATAGGGGCTGAATAACTCACATTTTAAGCAGATTCCATCTAGAACTGGCTATACTGGTGAGTGCAAGAGCATGAAGAAAGGGAATAAAGAGACTCAGGAGCTCCCAGTGTCACTGCTTGTGCTGAAGAGGTCTCGCAGCACCTTGGGCAGCACCCGAGTGAAGTGAAAAACCATTGTTCTAGAATCTAAAGGCTCTGCTGATCCCTGTCTAGCTGAAGGATGTACAGTCCTAACTGACTTCTCCAATTTCCACTGAATAGGAAGGATAGTTGTGGTGGGTCTTCCATTGATAAGTGTGGAAATATCAAAGTCTCGTTCTTGAATGAGACACCACATTTTGTAATTGTGGCTCTGACCGTACCAGGGATTATAACAAAAACATGACAGTCATTGCAGATAAAATTGTTTACTTGCTGCTCTACTGTTTGGCAGAGGGTTTCTTCTTCAGACCCTGCCATATCAATGACTTCTACATGTGTGTCTCTCTTCTTGATATTAAGCAGAGACCTGGGAGGCATGTAGGTGTGAGCAAAGACTAGCCTATAGTGACTTGGCTGGTTTGAGGAGTCCGGAGAATGCATGAGTTGCTCCAAGTGAAGCAAACATGGTATCAGTCCTCCCTGGTGTAAGCACCCAAAGAGCAAAGCCCCAAGAATGTTGAAAATAATAATGATGTGTTTCCACTTCGCAGCTCTATTCTGTGACGTGCTGAACAGGACTAAAGGCAAGATGAGAGGAATGAGAAACCGAGGTTCTTGGTGACTGAATAGTGAGAGAAACGCCAAAGGAACAAAATAGAACAGCAGTAATGTTGGATTGCCCTCAGAATGCACTAACAGCCCAGACGACCGATGGTAATGTGATTTGACCCATATTAATTGGTGGATGTATTTCTTCAGCATTTTAAAACCAGCACCAATGGCCAGAATATGCAAAATCCCAAAGAGCATTATTCCGTTGACTGTAAAATGTGTAACTCGTGGGTGACTTCCATGCAGTGCAAGGTTACGAGGATTAAGATTATAGCTCAGAAAATTGAAAGGCGTTACTATCACTTTCTCATTTAATTGGCCTATTACATCAAATAGGCTGCTCTTTTTAATGCTGTAGAGGCTGTCTAAGCCTATGGAGGTAAAATAGAAGGTGTCGGCTGTTACAAAAACAACGGCAGTAAAACATGCACATAGGACAAGCTTCAACAAGTGGTTTATGACAGTTTTAATGCTCTTTTGAGAGTCAACAATTAAACCAGCCCAGTAAAGCAGGGGCATTAGAGCAAATGCCAAAAAGGTTGGCCTGTTGAAAAACCCTGCAGTTGTTATAATACCTATGAGAGGGCTGCTTGTAGGCTCCACTAAGCTGCTGTCAGACTTTCTCGAGGAAACCAATAGCATCAGAAGAGCAAAGAGAAGTCCTTCAAGCGTGTTGGTAAACGTTCTCGTATAAAATACCAGAGTGACATACGATCCGGCAAGAAGTACTAGTGCTTTCCACGGATCCGCTTCCCAGAAAGGAGCTAAACGATAAACACAGTAGTCGAGTATAAAAGAAAAGATTGTAAAGAGAAGGCGAGGTGATACAAGAAGGGTGTAGCTGTTGATGCAACTTGAACACATGCCCAGCTGCTTCAAAGACTTGATCACCCAGTAGGTAACTCCTGATGTCATTAACGGGAAAACAACTGTTCTGCAAGGAGAGCTGGAAAGGAACTCCCAAGGATAATAGACCTGTAGGTTTAAAATATCTCCTATAAAGGAAGAAAAAAAGAAGAAAAACCATACATACATAATATATTTTATTCAGTACTTCAGCATTACGGATACAACTCAGTGTAAGAGGCATCACGATGCAGAGCAGTCCCTTCTGAGACTGGCGTCAACCTTGAAATGTTTAGGAGCATGCCATTAATTTTTCCGATTAATTTTTACAAAACTTCAAGAAAAAAAGAAAGTCTATTATGGCGATGCGGTTCCCGGCGCCACTCGCTGGGGACACACAGCAGGAATGCAACACCCAGGCGGCGGATCCGCTCGGACCCTGCGTGCGAGAGTCGCTCCGTGACCGAAGGCCGCACAAGGCCGCTCCGGTTTCTGCGGGACCCCGCACTCCTGGGGCGCAGGAGGCGCCGGGCTGCAGGGCAGACACATGCCCATCCGTGCACGGGACTGGCGCTGGGGGGCCGCAGGGGAGGAGCCCCCTCGGGGCCTCTC